GTAAAAAGGGGTTTGAGTTTGAAAGTGTTTAGAGAAGCTAATCCGAACTCTTCTAAAAAATCTATCCAAACAAGCCCTTAAGGAGAGAGCGAGAGAGAAAATGGAATTCAATCAAAATTAAAACTTTTTTCATAACAGCGCCACAACATTTGATCTATCTTTTGATCTTATTTTTTGGATCGGTTTATTACTTCGTTATAAACATGATGATAATGGCCAGAAAGCTTGGGTGTTAGGATTGGTGTTTATCAGTTGATATGCTAGGTGGATTCTTTGGAGTAGTTGGGCCTAGATCAGTGACCATGAATTGCTTGTTAATATGACATTACTCCTAACATTTTTTTAGTCTCAATCCCTTTTTTTATTAATGATTTAAAATTGGGTAACAAAAAGTGATCTTAAAAATTTAGTCTAACATTACTTCTAACATGTTATTATAATTTTTTTAGTATATTAATAAATATTTTAAATTATATAATTGGTCCAACCAATAATCCATTAACTTGATTACTTTACTAGATTGATGTTCTATCTGGATTTAATAACTATATTCAAAATATGTATATATCATTTTGTGTGTGTTCAAAAAAAAATTATGAATTGAAATCTTACATCAATTGCAATAAGAGGTTCAAATTGATTAATAATTGGTATTCATTCCTCTAAATGTTATGTATTTTTAAAGGTGGTGCTTGGACCTAGTCTTGTTCATCTTATTGAACTATTGCAACTAGATTATGATATTAGATAAATTATGTTCAAAATATACTCGTATTGTATCCTTTATGGGTGCGTTTACTTTAGGTATTAAGAAAGAAAGATTGGAAAAAATATGTTCGAGCCTATCTTATCCCCTTTACTTTCATGTTTGGATACGCATATTAAACTCGGTATTATCATCTAAAAAAAATTCAGACCCGGATGAATAGTGTATTTATAGCTACATACGCTTTCTTAAATAAACCCACCTATTTGGTAGATTTAAATAGTCTGATTGGAGTATGTTTTGGCAAAAAAAATATTTACCCTCAAGAATCTCTAAGATATAATTATCTTGAGGGTTCTTTAGTAATTTAATATTTATATTATTATTCAGTACTCCATTTAAACAAAGTATCAGATGAGATAAATGTGAGACCTACTAATTTTTAATATATGAGTCAAATTTGGAATAAAAAAAATATCACTATAATTAGTTCAAGACCTGAATAGATGAAAAAGGGATGAACGTCTTTCTTCGATCCAATCCAATACTGCCTAAACCAAACACACGTATGTGTTAAAAAAAATAGGAAAAATTACATCCACACCCCTTTTAGTTTGGTTTAAATTGAATGACACTCCTTCTCAATTTTGAAACTTTATTGCACCCCATTCTAGTTTATACTTTCAAATCAAAAGCACCCCCTTAACGGTAACTTCTGACTCAGTCAATACATAAAGTAACAATTTGACTATATATTTTCTTAAAACTATAATTTGTTATGTAAATAGACTAAAATGCCCTCAACTACTTTCCCATTACATATAGGAAAACTTTCATTTACACCCTCTATAGTTAGGTCTAAATTTAATGACACCCCTTCTTGATTCTAAAACTTCAATGTATATCCTTCTGGTTATATTTTTAAATCAATGATACCCCCTTAACAATAATTTTTGCCTCTGACAGTGGATAAAGTAATGATTTGACTAATATTTTGTGAAAATGTCAAAATTACCTTTTGTTATAATTCTCATTATATATGCGCTATCCAACCATTAAGCATGATTTCTATAATTATATTATTCTAATAAATTTTTATTATTTTAAAACATTACATAATAATTTTATTATAATATTAATCATCATATTATCATTCATTTGGTTACATAATTGAGTTTTTATAATTTTTATAGTTAAAAATAATTTTTCTATAATAAAAATTATAGTTCATAAAGTCAATGTTAAAATCACGTCAATTTTCTAACTCCTCTACTAACATCTGCCTTCCACAACGTCATCTGATCACTCTTCACACATCACCCTTCACATATAAAATTTAAATATTATTTGAATAAATTTGGTCTTAAGTTGATGAATTTAAATATTAAATTGGTGTTAATTAATAAAATTAAATATTAATTCAATATTAATTTAATAAAATTTAATGTTAATTGAATAAATTTAAATGTTACTTTAATGAAATTGAATGTTCATTTGGTGTTAAATTAAATAACTAACATTAATTTGATAAGATTAAATGTTAAATCAGTGGAATTTAATATTCTATTTAATATATTAAATTTTAATTTAATAAAATTAAAATATTAATTTAGTATTGATTTGATAAAATTAAATAATAATTTAATGTTAAATTAAAGAAATGATATTAATTTTATGAAATAAAATATTAAATTAATAAAACTAAATTTCAAAATTAGAAGGGGGTATTATTAAAAATAGATCTATTTATAAGGGATATCGTTAAAGTTATGTTTATTTATATGAGGTGTAAATAAGATTTATTTTATAAAATATTCAGAGGTATTTCTATAAATTAACATTCAGAGTTAACACCGTAATCCGACAAACACTGACAGAGAATCACAGTTAAATTTCAGAATTGAGAGATGGTATCATTGAATTTAAACCTAATTAAAGGGGGCGCGGATGGAATTTTTTTTTTAAAAAAAACTAAACCCAACTCCAAATTTCAAAGATGTGGGCTGGGAACGTGGTACTACTAGGAGAGCACGTGCCAAACTCAGAGCTACACGCGCACAATGCCCGCACACAACAGCCCACCCGCTCTTCTCAGAAATATATTATCCTAAGCGGGTTGACCCCAACCCATCGCTCACGTGGCGACAAAGAGTACGGCCGGCGTGAACTAGGCCACTCTGTTCTGTAATCACGTATATGTCACTTGCTGGACTATTAAAACCCAAAATAATGTTATATTTATATAATTATTTATTAAAATTTATATTTTAAATTAATATATGTGGTTAGATCATTAGAGTCCATTAATTTTTGCAAACATTTTACACATAAGATTTTGACAGGTCTTTTGAAATATAATATTTAATAAATAAATTTAAAAAATATAATTTCATCATTAAAATACCAAGAACTCGCTCCCAAGTGTTAACAACTAATATCAAGGGTCTTTTCTATTTTAGCTTTAAGTTTTTAATAAAGTTACAACTGACTAAAATAAATGGCCAGTAAAAGAAAATGTAATACAATAAACATGTCAAAAATAAATCTCGGGACGGGTTGAGAAAGCAAGGCCCAAGAAGAACTTGAGCATACATTTACCTAAAAAAATGTTCGACATTGTATGTCAACACAATTTGAACTCGATAGTGAGTTATAGTCATTTAGTTCTCCATATTAATTTGAAAAATTGCACGATCCACTATCATAGATAATAAACTAGTAATATTAGTTTCAAATTGGTTTGAAGTTTGACACTAGTTGATTTAATTAGTATTGTGCAAAAAGAATATCCTCACCCATGGGTTAAGAGTTCAAGTAGATTTGGTGGTTAGTCACAATACTGGCCTAACTAGATCTAGTCGCGAGAGGTGTTTCAGGCGATATCAGAGACCTTATTATCTCACCGATGAGGGTCTAATGAGATGATCGTTGGACACACTTCTTTATCACTTTTTTCATAAAAAAAAAAAATATACCCTATTTTTAATTAAATTTTTGATATAATAAATCCTAAAAAATATTACGACTCACAATTAAATCAGTGTCGTTGATTATTAATGAAGTTAGTATTTTGAATTCATCTAACGTTGTTCTCTTAAACATGGATTGTGTGTGCGCGAAACTCCAGATAGATCGGTAACGGATTATGTTCCTTACGGGGTATACCTCTTGACGTGGAAGAAATCCATTGGTTATATCAATCTAAACGCGTGCTCCCTTTAGTAGGGGACACAAAATTCATGTCCCGCAAGAACGACACGAGGCTCGCGCCAATAGCCGTTAGGTATAACGTCCCAATCAGCCACCGTGGCACAAATAGAAATTAGGATAATTATACATAATACCCGTAAAATTATGATCTAGATCTCACTTCGTCCTTAATGTTATCAAAATTTTCATATTTTCCCTTTAATTATACTTTCTATGACGAGAAACCTTTTCAAATTAGGGCTGACCCCTTCGGCTTATTTCTCTAAGAATAAATTATCGTATACATATAATTATCTACAAATTACAGGTATTAATTAAGAGATGAAATGCCAACTAAAGTTGATGATGGGGTGTATGGTGTGCCTTAGAGGTAACTCCACACTCGTTAGGTTACCTGTGCGGCTTAATTATATCAAAATAATGCTATTAGGACGTGAAAAATTAACCTAAAAATGTAGATGTAATTTAAACAAATAGTATTTTTGTGATTGTAATTCTTAAATTTTTTTATTGAAACTCAAAGTTGGCACATCATTTTCTTAGTAAATTAAGTCAATTTGTTAGATTCTAGTAATATTACTTTTATGTTAATTAAATTTATATCATCCCAAAACCATGAACTTGGCTAATTTTTTTTGGCATCAATTGAAAAATATCCACGTAGTTGGGTTTTGGAAAAAAATCGTCAAATTATACAGGTTCGTGGGTTGGTATATTTAGTTGAACTTGCTCGTACACCATTCTTAAACTTAAACTCAAATATAACACGTTTGCCAACTAATCAAGAGCTACTAATTTCGTGTCGTGTTCATGCAAATATTAGTCATAAGTTTTGGGCAAACGTGAACTCATTAACATAGTTGGGGGGTCATGTATGAAAATTCGGGTAATAATTTGAGGGCACTCGGTGTAATTCGTCTTAAAATTTTTAAATACTCGAGTTCGAACTTTGACCGTACGAGACACCCAAAGAGCCAAGACTGAGAGAACAATACAGTCGTTATATCCGGCATCGTTTCCAACCAAGAGCTTCTCTCCTGGACTCTCTCTCCATTGATGGTGAGTTGTGGTGGTGTGGCGGTGAATGGGCGGCGGAGATCCAGAGAAGGTGACGGAACCGCCGGTGGTGGCCGTTGGACCTTTTCCTGGCGTCCGTCTGGTTGATGCTCCAATTCTATTTTTTGTTCTTTTCCACAAGGCTATACGAGCGGAGCTTTCCGAGCTCCGCCGTTTTGTGGTAGAGGTGTCCGAAAATGTGTCCCGTGGGCGGGATTTGGTTGTGGATCTTTGCCGGCGGGTTGAGTTCTTGAAGCTTGTTTATAACTATCATTGTGCTGCAGAAGATGAGGTGAAGATTCTAACTCGTTGCGTTTGATACCTTTTTTGCCCTAATTTTTATTTTCTGTGCTTATGTTTTATGTATCAATACTCTTGTTTTTAGTTGAAATAATCCATGTTGATTCTTTTTTCTCTCTGAATTTTTATATTGCATTTGAAAGCTTGTATACTTCTTAGTCAATTACCCTAAGAACTCAGATGATACCCAAACAAAATATGGGAATTCGAATTTTCTAGTGATGGCGTGTCATTTTCCTGTTCCTCTTGTATTTGTACCACATGGGAAGAGTTAAGTACACCCGTTTTGGTTGAAGCAACATGCTGTTCGAACTCTTGTCAACTGTGCATCTCCCATTATAGTTCTAGTTGTTGAGTCTTGTGATGAAAAATTTGATTGAAGGTTTGTTATGTCTTAGGATTTCATGCTTTACACCATTAACAATACCAAATCAAAACTAGAGAACTAAAGATGTTTTATGAGCATAAATGATAGCTCCAGGTGGGTGTTTCATTTCCGAGAAGGCTTACAAAAAACTGAAGAGCATTATCTATATTAAATTATAATCTATAGAGAAAAGGAAATGTTGAACTATAAGCCAGATATGGTTTGAAAATTGAAAAAGGGGTGATGTGACTGTATATGTTTTGACTTTGATTTATTTGTAAGATGATTTGTGGTCCTCTAGCATTTTCAGGTCTATAACTGGATCTTCTATATTTTTGCAGGTTATCTTTCTAGCACTAGATGGACACGTAAAGAATGTGGTGTGTACATATTCACTTGAACATGAAAGTATAGATGAGCTCTTCGACTCTATATTCAATGGCTTGGATCTGTTAATGAAGAAAGATGAAGATATTGCCAAGCCATTCCAAGAATTTGTGTCTTGCATCGGTACCATCCAGACCACCATTTGTCAGCATATGCTGAAAGAAGAAGAGCAGGTACTCATCTACTTATTTGTTACATAATCTTGTTTTCTTACTTATTTGATTCCAAGGAGTTTTGTTTTGTTGGTCATTGAATGAAAAAGATTATCTTAGTTTTACTAGTTATGAAGCTCTCTGCTTATTTATGAATTGTTATGTAACTTTGAAGGTGTACTTTCTGGAGTTGCCTAACCAACAATCATGCAATTCACATTGAGGAACCTGTTACATAGAGGAAAAATTCTGAATAAAGTTCATTTTATAGTTGTGGTAGATGAGTTCATTCTAGGCTTGTGGTAGATGATGAGGATTTCCTTTGTTATCTCCGAGTTAAGGGAAGAAGTAGTCAAAGCTTATTTGTGACCAAGTCGGTATGAAACTCCCACCTTTATCTACTAAAATATTCTCCATGACATCTATATCTGGGACCGTCTTTTAAAGTATTTCACAATCTCAACAAACCATATAAAATTCTTGATGGGGCAATTCAATGTAGAATTCCAACAGGGTCCTCCAAAACTGACATATCTAATTTAAACCATGGAAATTACATGTATAGCTGCCGGAGTACTGAGAAAGAAAATTTCACTTCCAACTGGATTCTGCATGACACTGAGTGTCATGCTATTCATGTGTAGATGTTTCTTATAAATCCATTTTCAAACTCTATAAATATGTGAAATGGATAAGTAGAGGCATGATACCTTACTGGTTGAAGGTAGATTACCACTTGTTTGTGATTTTTGTAATAGTTTGATATGACTAAAAGTATACCTGTAAAAATTGATCAAATCAGGGGAAAAAATATATCTAAAGAAGTCTTAGAGAAAGATCAAGGACATTAAGCTGAATACATGCTTTATTATTGTCCATTGGTAGAAGGTTATAAGACCTACATCACTCTGTAAACTTATGTGCATAACAAGTTTCTAAATAGATTTTTTCACTATTTATCATCTGCAATGCAAGATGTATATAATGAATAGTGAATAAAGAGTGAAACCGCATTTTAGGTTGGGTATGCGACTTGGTTTTTTGAATTACACTTGAGAGGTCAGTTTCACATAAAGATGATGAATTTAACTGAAATTAAGATTCATGGGAAATTTTTTACTGTTATTTATAACTGTTTAGCTCTTACATTTGTATGGCTGCAGGTTTTTCCTTTGTTGATGCAGTACTTCTCTTCCGAAGAACAGGGTTCACTTGTTTGGCACTTCATGTGTAGTGTTCCCATAATGCTATTGGAGGATTTTTTGCCATGGATGAATTCTTTTCTTTCTCCAGATGAACGAATGGATGTTATACATTGCATAAAAGAAGTTGTGCCCAAGGAAAAACTACTGCAAGAGGTAGACCCTTACCTAATTTTTCAATCTATTCATCTTAACTTCCTCATCTAACAAGTTCATGTGCATTTTGTAGGTGGTGATTTCCTGGGTTGATAGCAAGGACAGAGATTTTTATGGGGCCTATGGTAAGTATGGAAAAGGAGGTCAATTTCCTGATGGACTTGACAGCTTAAAGGGAACATTCAAAGTGCATGCACCTAAGAGCATTTCTGGAGAAGAATGCCGGTTAAAGAAAGCACATAGTATTGGGGAAACTGGTAGACACAATCCTATTGATGGTATTCATCTCTGGCATGATGCCATCATTAAAGATTTGAAAGAAATTTTGGAGGAGCTGTTTCAAATAAGGACAAACAGTTTTTCAACCTTAGATTCAGTAATCGTCCAGTTAAAATTCTTTGCGGATGTCCTCATCTTCTATAGGTAATCACCATAATTCTTGGAGCATTTCCTTAAATGGAGACCTCCTTGCTTGGTTCAGGGGTCAGGTGACATTTCTCGTTGAAATATAATCCATTCTTCTCGGGCATATGTACCAAATTACCAATGAAACTGAATAGGCCAATGGACATTTTATATAGCATTTCAAATACAGTTATTTAAGTAAATAGCAGCTACCTTATAATTGCAGTTAAAAAATTTGAATTGTTTTCATTTCATGGAAACATAAAAATGATCACTTGTAAGAAATGAGGTGAAGTCCCAAATTTTTCCCAATCTCCATTTTATGTAATAAATTTTCCCTTCATTGTCAATGGGAAATTGATAGTCCAGTTGAAATTTAAGGATGTTCAAATGCTCTCTTTGTCTTGTCATTGTTTAACTTCTCATGGAAGCTTTCTGACTTACAGATATGTTTTGGATAACATCTTCTACCCTTTGTGGGATGAACTTACCAAAGATTTCTCCTCTATCTTCTGTGAAGTATTCGTAGATGAAAGTAGAATCGAAGGTTTGCAGAAGTTGCTGCACTATACTGCTCAAAGTGGGATACCCATAAGCAATTTTGTGGAAAAACTTCGCGGGGAATTGGTGTTGTTTGTGAGAGCGATTGGCAAACTCCTGACATATCTAGAAACAAAGGTACGCTATTTTTTCCATTGATGTTCTGTCAAAGCAAGAAAAAGGTGAACTATTTTGAAAGGGAAACTCAGCGTTTCAAGGTCGAAAGTAAAAACATGAATAAGCAAGCAGGGGGATGCTAACCCCTTATAAGCATTAAGCAAGAAGGAAATATATCTAGAAAAGAAAATCCTAACTCCAATTTCAAGTACGACTTATGACTGTTTTCTCCAAGAGTATCTCTAAACTCTAATCTACAGAAAGCTCAATTTTACAACATTCACTCACTTTTCAGCTTCTGTTAGGTTTTTCCCATCATCAGCAAGAACTGCAACCATGAAATGCAGCAGTGGTTATTGTACAAAAGCCTTCATATGATGCCACTTGGTTTACTAAAGTGCGTGATTACTTGGTTCTCTACTCATTTATCTGAGGATGAATCAAAGTCCATTCTGTGTAGCTTTAAGCAAGGAGGTCCTCTAACCAACAAGTATTTTGCATCTCTCTTGTATGAGTGGGCATGCATAAGTTATTCAGGTAAAACCTCCGTTGAAAAAGTTAGAAAAGACTTGCGAGATATGTTCATTAGTAGGGCCTCTTTTCTTTCTGCCCAAAACAAGAAGAGTTCTGCATTTTCTTACTCACAGTCTTATACGCAATCCAGATTCAATCCTGGGCCTTCAGAAAAAAATGCAGCCATCAATGCTATGAATTGTGTGTCTTTTGCATCATCTTCAGGCTCCAAAAACACTTGGGACTATGACATATCATATTCAAGTAGAATCAATCTGCATATATTTTTCCCTCAAACTTTGAAAGAGTTATCTCCCCTTTCTGCAATCATTGGTGCTGGTTCTTTTTTCAATCTTGAATCAAGACCCGTGGACTTCATCTTTTTCTTCCATAAATCTCTCAAGAAAGAACTAGAATATCTTGTCCTTAGGTCATCCAAGTTGGCTGAAAATGTTGGGCTCCTTATGGACTTCCACCAGCGCTTCAATCTCGTACGGTTTCTGTATCAAATTCATAGTAATTCAGAGGATGAGATTGCCTTTCCAGCTCTGGAGGCCAAGGGAAAACTCCAAAATATTAGTCATTCCTACACCATTGACCATAAATTTGAAGTTGAACACTTTAATAAGGTTTCCCTTGTCCTTGATGAGATTTCTGGATTGCATGTTTCAGTTCCTGAAAGTGATCTAGATGCACTGGATCAGAGAATGCTACATTACCATCAGTTGTGTATAAAGCTCCACGATTTGTGCAAATCTATGCACAAAATATTGATTGATCATGTTCATCGGGAAGAAGTTGAACTGTGGCATTTGTTTAGAGAATGCTTCTCCATTGAGGAGCAAGAAAAGATCATAGGATGCATCCTTGGAATAATTGGAGCAGAAATTCTACAAGAAATGATACCCTGGCTTATGGTATCTTTAACACCAGAAGAGCAGCGCTCCATGATGTCTTTATGGTGCAAGACTGCAAGAAATACAATGTTTGAGGAATGGTTAGGAGAATGGTGGGAAGGTATGAAAATATCTGTTATGGCTAATGTAGAAGAGGAGCCAAACATTTCCCATCCATGGACTATAGATCCTCTGGAGGTTATCTCAACATATCTGATGAAAGAAGATTCAGATGATCAAGGTAGAAACTTAGACAACAAAGGAATTGAATCTTCACAAATAGATTTTGCTGGTCACAGTATTAATGAGCCTTCTAGAACTCTCACCAAGGATGATAAGGTAAAGGTTCTCAGTGGAGATCAAAACAATCACCAGTCTTCAGATTGTACTGAATTTTCTGAGGAAGTTGCCAAAAAGAGATGCAATGAAATAGCAGATGTCACTGACCAAGCTAATAAAATAGGCAAGGTTGTACAAGTCAACCAGACGTTCTGCCATCAGGAAAAGTTTTCAATGTTGAGTCAAGAAGAACTGGAGGCTGCAATAAGAAGTGTATCCCGTGACTCTACTTTGGATCCTCGAAAGAAATCATACCTAATCCAGAACCTGCTAACGAGGTTAGTATAAGCTTTTGTATCCTTAATGTCTTCCCTTTTTGAACAGGTAAAAATATGGTACTCAGGAAGGACTTGAATTGGCTGGTCTATTGACTGCATAGCTGACAGACCTTTTTATCCCCTGTGCTTGGGCACCTCCGCATAAGGGAGTTAAGAAAGTCCATTATTAAGTGTTGTTCCTGCCAATCCTGGATGCTGGGATGGATAAACTGGGCACAATCCTAACTTTTGCCATCATTTATGCAAAGTGTCTGTCCTCAAACTTGAACACCCTAGGTCTCATGCTTGAACCTTAAGTTCACCAAGAGGTGACTTCTAACACGGTTCCAAACTAAGTTTTATTGTCAAATCTAAATCAAAATACAAAATAGGAACTCAAATAAGTGTTTTTTCCAGATTCAAGGACTAGATTTCTTTTCGCTAATGCAATCTGTAGTTATATTCACATGCTTATAGGGAGTTTGACTTAAGCTTCCATGATGTATCAGCCGTTGGTTTGTTACACAACAGAAATTGCATCCAGAGGTTACTGTATCTAGTGGAAAAGAAGAAGTTCCAGGCCAGTGTCCATCTTATCAGGACCCTCTCGGATTAGTTTTTGGTTGTAAACACTACAAGAGGAACTGTAAGCTTGTCGCCTCTTGCTGCAACAAGCTATATACATGCATACGTTGCCATGATGATATGGCAAATCATTCCATGGACAGGTTCGTGTGGTATGCATTAAATTTCTGCTTCTACACTTTTGCACTTGTTAATTTTCTCTTCTTTACATGTTTGCTGCTGCTAACAATATGCTTACAGAAAAACTACAACCAAGATGATGTGCATGAAATGTATGATAATTCAACCAATTGGTGCCACATGCTCAACAGTTTCTTGTAATAATATATCAATGGCAAGATACTATTGCCAGATCTGCAAATTGTTTGATGATGAGAGGTAATGTGCCCTATTAACATAATTATTAGTTTTTTATTTCTTGTGATTGAGATTACAAGTTCATCGCCTTTAAATGATTTTCCTCGAGTACTATCTTCTGCAGAAATGTTCACAAATTTTCATTTAATATGGAAATTAAAAGGCAGTGCTAAAAAGTATTTTGCTGGTATCATACTTATTGTGATAGGACCAGCTGCCAAATACTCCATGTTACATGAATGTCTCATGTGAACCGACTTGTTTTCTTTGACATCATTACACCATTGGCTCAAGCAGCACAACGTCCATGTATCCTAGTCATATAAAAGGTTACAAAGCCAGTTGATTTTATATTATTTCAGAAGCAACCTAGTTCAATATTCTATTTTTAGCTGAGAATTTGTCTCTAATTTTTAAAAAAGAATGTTAGGAATTTTCAAAACTTTCACCTTTTGATTCAAATTTTTCCCAATATTTCTTGTACATGAACCTAACGCTACATGAAGTTATGGGGGATCTAATCCAACTACGCAGGAGATCAGAGCAAGGTTTTTCCAAAATTGTTGTATTAGCATAAAAAAAACATGAATCAAGAGCCATGTGTTTTCACCCAAGGAACTTTAGATATGACAAACCATGTCTCTAGGTCTGTAGTGAGTACTGTAGAGTGCATCTTGAATTGCTGCTTTTCATCAACATATATCCAGAGTCCGCTTCTCCAAAACATGTTTAATGAAAACTTTCTGGACAATTCCACAGAAAGAAAGTCATTATAAAATTATTTTCTTCTATTCCCTCATTGCCAGTGACAACCTCAGATTCAGTATACCATATGGTCCATATCCATAAACGAATGATTCAAACACTTCAATTGATAATGATGCAAAAGTCCTCCGGTTACACTCTTCCAAAATTCTCATGTCCTGATAGTTATATGGGACAAACTTTTTTTGCCAAAAATGAAGGGAGTAAACATACAGACACATGCATGTTACAACTTCTTTCTTTTCAAAATTTTGTTCTAAGTATGAATTGAAAGTGAGAAATTCATCTTTTAAGATTTCTTGTGCCTAATAGCTGACCGCTGGTGTCAAATATAGGCACCTTGAAATACTTATCACTTTCTGTCTATCTCCCTTCACTTTTAGGAGCTATATGGTAGACAACTCGGCTAGCCAACAATGAATCTAGTCCATCCCACCAATGATACATCTCTAATGCCTCAAATTCTTCAAGATTTTCAGTATTCTAAGTTTCATACTGTTATGATCTCTCTATTTCTCTCCCTCCCTCTGAAAGAATTCCTGTGTGCCCTGGACCACATATCTCTATATGTTGAAGTTGGACTCATCAATTATGGAGTTCTCTGACATGGAGGATCTTGAACAGGAAAATCTACCACTGCCCTTACTGTAATCTGTGCCGAGTTGGGAAAGGATTGGGCATTGACTATTTTCATTGTATGAATTGCAATGCTTGCATGTCACGTTCTCTTGCAATACATGTATGCAGAGAGAAGTGTTTGGAGGACAACTGCCCTATATGCCATGAATACATTTTCACATCAAGTTCTCCTGTGAAAGCCCTTCCATGCGGGCATTTGATGCACTCGGCATGTTTTCAGGTTTTTAATTCATATATCTCACTTTTCTTCCTTGAAAATATCCAACCATCCAAACTGTGTAACTAATTATTCTATGATGCTCCTATTAGGACTACACATGTACTCACTATACCTGCCCAATTTGTAGCAAGTCACTTGGGGACATGCAGGTCAGTTTTTAATTTTCTGTGATATTTCTCTTTGACAGATTTTTGACAAGATATGCCAACTGACTTAAGTTGGAAACGGTGATTTCATTACATAATAATACATATGGTGCAAATCTAGTTTATCCGACACATTTGCGCTGCCCTTAAGTAGAAGGTCTCTAGTTCTACGGTTGTCCTGCAACGGCTGAAGTATTTTTCAACATTTTGAATCTCCCATTCCAAGTGAAACCTGAACTGGCATTAATATCATGTTTAGTTTGCCGAAGTAAAGATTGACAAAACCAAATTTGTTGTATTAGTTTCTGTGAAATATAACTAAATTTAATGAGCTTCCGAAAACGTAGTCTTTTCAATAACTAGCTTGTTTACATTTCCAAATCAGCAAAGCACAATTAAACAGTATAATTTCCGCTTAGCAGTTTGGAGGAACCTTATTACAATGTCAGATCTGATTTTCTGGGGGTTTTCTTGGAAAGCAATTTTATTATGGGTGTAACTTCTTTTTGAATGTATAATGAAATCAAGTGTTCAAGGATCTGATGTAGCCAGCTATTGGAAAAGGAAAGATGAACAACCTATCAGCTGAGAAATAGAAATTTCTGGAATAATTTATACTATTTATGCATCTTAGGCCTTTTTCATACTTCAGTTTCAGTAACTCTTAGTTGAGAAATAAATGTTTATAAAGTCTAAATTGTCTGTTCATGGTTCTTGATGATTGCATATTATTAACAGGAATGTGTTGATGTTAATGGACTTTCCTTGTATTTGGTCTGTTTAGACACATTTTAACTAATAGAGGTGAGTATCCTTGAAAATTTGATAATACTTATATTAGGTTAGTCTAAATGTCCGAGTTTGCTGTTTACCTCTTCTGATTCTTAACCCTCTTTGGATTCATGGAGATCGAATTGGGAGTTCAGGCTTTCTAAATGAAGTCATAGTGGTTGATAGCCTGCCCCTTAATGTGCTATTGTTTTTATTCAATGTATGTTGCTTTGCTAGAAAGAGGCAGCCTATATGATGTTGTCTGTCATAGAGACCATTTTTATTCCTAGGATTCTCAAATTTGTTGTTCTTATATCCCTCTTCACATGATGTTATTTACCTTGTTTTCTGTTTTGCCTTACTTATTCCACTCTGGAACTTGAAATCTTCACAAGCATCATTATCTGACTAGGAGTTAGATAAAGAATTGCCTAAAAAGTTTCTGGCTAAATGAATTGCTTTCCTTTGTTAGTTGACGTTCAGATTACTTGCTTCTCCATAATCATTTGGATTGCAGGATGAACAGCCTCAAATTTCTGTTTGTCTCTTCTTAATGTTTTCTTTACAAGGGTGCACCCAATGGATGTTCCCCACTGTATAGCCACAGCCTTGATTCTATGCCTATCAATGGCATGTATATAAATCTATCTAATAGATAAGCAGTGATGACTACTCCCCGAGTATGCATGCTAATTTCATTTACTACCTCAGGCATGTTACATTGTTTATGGTTCATGTTATTGGTGCTTTCAGAATTCATAAATGTCAAAATGGTATCTTCTAGGTGTATTTTGGGATGTTGGATGCATGGTTGGCTGAAGAGAAAATTCCCGAAGAGTATTCTGGCCAGACTCAGGTAGACTATTAATCTTGGTTCTGTGTTCTAACTTTCCCTACTGCATGTATCCTCTAGCTTATGCAATTTTAGATGCTGTGAATTCTTATTTACTGTGGGAAGGATTTTGCAGGTCATATTATGCAATGATTGCGAAAAGAGAGGAACTGCTTCCTTCCATTGGCTCTATCACAAGTGCTCTTACTGTGGTTCATACAATACTAGGGTCCTATGAGTTAGTTCCAAATTTCCCAAGTTACCATGTATAGTATACCATTCGGCTTACATTGATTTGGCTTACCAGATTGGATCAAATCACTCTCTCTCGCTTTCAATACATTTGTTTTTGTTCTTGATAATAAATCAACTATTTCTCTTGATTTTAAACAAAATAGCCTCAGAATTTTTGTCGTTATCTAGAGATATTAACACTGAAGGAAATCCAATAAGAACTTTAATGCTTTGTTCCAGATGATTCATATGTTCTGCTTTATTATATGGTTTTATAAACTGATAAAATTGCCACAAGAGATAAAGCATACTGCAACATCATCTTTCTTATGCTTACCGTATCTTACAAAACTTCCACCATACTATAGAAAGAGAAAATTTTCATTAAAGTCGGTTGGTTGGTGCTGCTCAAGAAGTAGAGCTTGATAGCATGTATTTTCATTATGCAAGTGATACCAAATGTTAGCTTTGCATCAAACCAATTATGGATCACTGATTCTGAGGTTGTGAAATAGATTCTGAAACTCGACTTCAGATTTCATAACCAACCAATGTAGATTTCAATACAAATTTCAAAAAAGAGTCCACCCTGCCTTTTTTCATCTTCAAAACAGAGTCATTGAAAACAATAAAATGGTATATTATAGAACAAAAATGTAATGTTCGATATCACCAGAAACAAAAGAATTAAATATTTTAGAATTAAAAATAACTATTTTTTCCCTAGAACTCAAAATTGTGGAATGTACCCTATGAAATCAGTGATAGAAAACCAAAACAAATTGGAATCGTGATGAATGTCAAGCCACTCTGGTATTCTTTTGCTTACTCATTTTTTTGCAGGCTACTTGATCAGTTCACACTAGTAAGACTGAAGCATGCTGCGGCACTCTTTAATTCATTCTCAGCGACATGCTTGATGGGCTGTGTCAAATCCTTCAATGATGATTCCGAGCTGCATATAATTTACACCACACCAGAAATTAATGGAGGTGACCAATAGTACATTTATTGAGAGAATCCAAAAAACAAGCATATATGTGGTGATTCAGTTAGATTTTGTTGGATGATTCACTTAAATTGTTTACGACCATCATCAATCTCTGCACATAGAAAATACTATATAATATATGACCGCATATATATAATATGTGTACCTTGACTCATAAGCCTCCTTGGAATCAATGTATGACTGTCTATCATCAATAGTATCAAAGAATGGTTGGATCTCATCATAATCTTGAGTCGATTCTTGCTGGATAGTTATGGGTTGTGGAGTGATCAACTGAGATTGCATTGACATTGGATTATTATTGTTATTGTTGTTGCTATTGCTATTGCCATATGCTTGTTGGGTCCAAAGGGAGTGGACAACATTATTATCCTTAGATTCAATGTAGTCAGAGTTGTAACCGGCATTTCCGCCGTTGGAATAGGAGTGATGTGATGCAATTGGCAATGCGGTGACAGCATTGTAATTCTCGGGAGCGTCCTGGTGGAAAAGGGTAAGTGCATTAGTGGGCGGCGCCATGCCTAATTGTAACTGTGACATTGAATCATTTGGTGCTGATGACATCTCCTGCTGTTGCTGCTGTCGATAAAATGCAAGTTGTGCATGAACAGCTTGAAGTTCCTCCTGAGATTGTAAAATTTGGTATTGAAGTTGACAGATCATTCCCCAGCATCCATAAACAGGATACTTATCACGAACATCGGATTGGAAAATGATGGATCTCATGGCCTCCATTTTCTGAGTCGGGTCAAGATGCTTTAGTATTTTCGAGATGTTCTTCACCCCAAAAAGCCTATGTGCGTTTTGGAATGTCTTAGGTTGATCAGGAGGGAAATATGGAGCAAGTGGGCAGTCCGGGGTGCACTTCCTCCTCTGGTACTTGCACGCAGCACAGGCTTGGCTGGTGCCACCCTTAAGGGTCATTTTTATACTACACAATGATTGAAAAAACCATTCAATGAAATCAACAATGACATTCCAAAGAATGACATGTTGAGAAGATGGTGGTGAAATGGAGTAAGATGGAGAAAAATTGGGAGAGAGAGAGAGAGAGTAATGTTCAAGAGGTGAAGCCAAATGGCAGCATTGATCTGAACTGGTCTGTTATGTGCGGATTTTGCTGGGGTGGTGGCGGAGAGACTAAGTAAAACAACAGATTGAAGAGGGAACCGATTTTGATGGGGAAGTTTCCTTGAAGTCCATGACCGTTGGGGACACAAATGAAATGAGAGTAACTTGAAGAGAGTCCTAATTTTGGGGGGCCACATGTGGTTTCAACCAAGTCTCTTATTTAAGTTATTAGTATATGTTTTTGAGTTTAATTTTGGAGATGTTTTCCTTTCACAGCTGGCCATTTACCCTTCAACCCATTTTCTTAACAAACATAAAGGGCTCATTTGGTAGACGTATTATAAGGGGATTAAATATTGGATTGTATTATTTTTTATTTAATTAGATCTAATACTTTCTTGGTAAGTAAATTTGACACTGTATTAATTTCAAAAAACGTATTCTTATCGTATCTTTATCATATATTTTTTATACGTTTGACTTGTATTATGACAGTATTTTAATACCACCAAAAGAGGTGGTATTATAATCCAACTCAAACATATTATTTTGCACATTTACCATTATAACCCTCTAACTGATAAAATCAAATTGTCATCAATGTAACAAACACTGAGGATATTTTTGTTAATTTAACATTAATACGATAAAATAATTCCTTAACCAAACAACTGATTGGATTAAATAATTACTGTCCAACGTTTATGTTCTGTATTACCAAACACTAGATAAAATTATGTATTATTCTAATACTATATTTAGTTTTGTCTTTTGTCATTTGTATTGTATTAGACCGAATTATTTTATCTAATCCATCTAATTCTAATACGGAAACCAAGCCCAAATAGTACTAAGAGATATACAATGACAGCTCATTGGAACACACCCTTAAATGCTATATGGGGTGTTGACAATTTAATTTAAAGTCAAATTTTGTTGGGCTCTATTTGAATCATTTTATCCTTGGATTGTATCGAGTACTAACAAACTCTAATTCAACCTATTAATCCGATATGTTTTTTAGTGTGTCGTGTTTGAATTTACTTATATAATAACTCCTACATTAAAATACAAGATTAATATTCCACTGTTTCTAAACCAGACCCATTGACTCAGATTTTTCATAAATTATAACTCCACTTAAAGTTCACATTATAGCAAAAACACGTCAAGAATTCATCTCATCATAGGAATATATAAGATGTTCCAATTTGAATGGCATTACGATGCAAGTACAATTGAAATGACCTGTGAATTCCACACGGGGTTAAAGTTGATCATTCGCAAGTTCATGTGACAAAGGGATGAACTCATTAAATCCGATTAAATAAATCAGTTGACATAAATTCGGCTAAATATAATGCAGTATCGCTAAATAACTTGTACACATCACAAATCCGATAAAAATCCAACATAACACAAATGCGACTTCAAACAGTCATAAGTGTGACAAATATAAATTGAGCAAATATTGGTATTGGATGAACCAGACTTTTGCGTATAATTGGACCCTACAGTGGTAGAACCTGGTTGGCATACTACGGTTCATTGCCAGACCTTACCTTACTGAGGTTTGGCGTTGAAGGCATGGTAAAATCAACACTTTGGTGCTAAAACCCTGACCGTTATACTTGAACACACATCTACGAGTTAAACAAATTCCCAGTTCTTATCGGAAGCAAATAATTCATATAAAAGCCCATATATAGCACAATTCTGGATAATAAAAAGAAGAATAAGAAGAAAAAAAGCCAAAAAGAAAGGCAATACCCAGGTTTCTGACTCCCGGAAATAGGCTAATGCTATGCCTAAGAGTAAGCAAGCATTGGATGAATGTCCGGACCTTGATATCTTTTAGGTCTTTGGAGGGCTAACTCATCGAACAAGAAGCCGAAAATATATTGAAACCATATTCACACTAGCAACAAAATGGGATTGTTTAACCTCTTCAAATCACTAATAGCTGTGAAGTGTGACACAATCTCGAACTCTGCTTGGCACATCATTTAATAATAATAATAATAATAACAATAACAATAACAAAAAACCTTGGAGATGAAATAAAACCAGAAATTCTAAAAAATTACATGTTTGATCCATCAATAAAGGACATCAGGCCCCAAAGAGCAGGACAGAACAAGTGATCTAGAATTGAAGAGCCAAAAAAGCTCTCCCTGCTATCATTTCTTCCACCAGCATTAGCATAAAATAAAAAGAGTTATCACTACAGTAACTAGCAACATAAGGATAAGAAAGTAACTTTAATATGAAGTACTAGAGGGGCCATGATTGGATCTATACAGAGACTGTTTGTATTTGGAAAAACAACCAGAGTTATGGACATAAATAAGTACCCCCAGTCTCTGTGTACGACTGCTGTATGCTCCCGATAACAACGGGGGATATTGCCATTTAGAAGTCAGCATCACATGCTCCAATTAGATCAAGGCTAGCAAACCTGGCGGTCCATTACTGCTCTTTTTTAGCCAAACCACCTTATTGGAGACATTTGAGACATAGGAGAAAATAGGCGCCCCAACTCTGCTGATTCAGTATTCAGAAGAAAGAGTACGAAAACCTACACTTTCAGATCTTCAATCTCTAATTTCCTCGTGCTCTAGAACAAAATTTCTTTCAATATGTTTCTCCCCACTTACAGGACCAATCACTCCTACAAAATCTCTCAATCATATAACAATTTCTTCATTATATATCACAACACCGGATTTTACATCTCAACTTTATAACTTCTGAAATGAAACTTAGCTCCCACTCAGAGACTGCATGGATGCACATAGTACGACATAATTGTGTTCTGAAATAGAATGCCAAACAGTGATAAATTCGAACTCCCCAGTGCATCAGACAATGTAAAGACTTCCATGTAAAACTAGTTGACAGCTTCAAAGAATAGAAGTTGAGGTTGCAAATGCCCTCTTCCACACATGCTAAGAACATCATCCCACCCACCAATGACCTACACAACACTTACATAAATCATCACAAGAGAAAAGAAAGTTCAACTGAATTGAAATAACCATCAATAGTGGGTTTTACCTTGACATTTTTGTCATCATACATAACCCACTGTTCTTGATCACGACTGTAGGCAAAGCAATGATAGTGTTGCCCATAATAGCAGACCTATAAAAGCAGAAGTAAAAGATACATCAGTTTCCTCCACAGATAAAATTCACAGCCTGTTCAACATCAGAAAAGGAGTATCTGAAGAGACAGAAGACCCACAGCTATGCATTTTGGTTGCCTCCAATTCAATTTTTTTTTGTTAAAATTAAATATCAAGCAAATTCAATTTTACTAAATAAATCTGAGCATACATGGCTCAAATCCATAGATGGAAAAAAGTTTACCATATGTTGACCATAGCAATGTAGAAAATAAGCCATCATATAATCACCCTTCTATTCTGCATCCGCAGAAAGTTATACAGGTCTAAGCCTGCTCATGTGGCAATGACTTGGATTCAGAATGTGTAAAAGAGAGAGACTTGTTGAAGATAAGATGGCGAAGGGAGTTTGCACTAAATCAGGCCGAAGATTAAATGAGGGAACCAGATAAGATGAACCAATCATGTGCAATGACACCACTTAACTCTTAAAACGGAGGGAAGAGAATCTATGACCAGCGAATTTGATAATAGAAGTAATGTTGCTTAATGAAATAAGTACCCGCAGATAATGGGTCAAAATTTCAAGTAACTTTCCCTTTACCTATCACTGAAAACGGAAGACACTTAACTGACAGGGGTCTTTAACTTTTGGTCGTATGACATTTTTGCCCTTTGTTGTTTCCGTTTCCTACTCTACTGCCAAGAGATCATCAACGTTTCCTCTCCTATCCTCTGTGATACTGATGGATTGCCTCTGTCATCAACTCTTAACAATTCCCTACATTCATCTGGATACTTTCACGTTGATGGATTCATAAGGGATATATAATAAATCACCGAAGTTCACAAACCCTATCCCAAAAAGCTCCAACATTTTTAGATCCAAATCTCCAAAGACAAAATAGACACTGCACTTCGAGAGGTCCGGTGCCCCGGACATCACCAACAATCATTTTGTCCTTATCCCAACATCATTTTCAATAAGCACATGGTCTCTTCCATCCTTTTGCAAGTATGGCAAGGTTGGGGACATCTCCAACCCTGACTAGTGTTTTATTGAAAGCAAGTAGAAATGTGAATATAGAGTCACAGAAGCCTTTTTTGCTCCTTGTTTTCCTTGCTCTATGAGATACCACTAATGTTCCCAAGCATCTTTTGGAAAAAAATGTGAAGGTAGAACAAAAGTTCTCTTATTTTGTCCCTTTCATGTTCTATTTGAGATGTTTTATTCCCCCCCACCCCACCCGCGGAACCCCCCGTGCAAGATGTATACGATCTCGCGAAACACTCAATTAATCGTTTCGACCACATGCAATTCTTTAATCTCATTAGTATCTGGCAATTATCATTATGTTTGTTGAATTAAAAATATAAAGTGAGGAATTTGGTTTCCAAGTGATATTTCGTAGTTTTTTATTCGATAAACCCATGTTTAACCAAGAATTTTAAAGTAAAGGGTGGGAGGGTAAAATTAGAAAACTACTAATTTTCAAACTTGAGTTTGTATTAATCAAACAATTGGATCTAATTCAGTGTTTGAATTTCAATACATACCAAATAGTTTCTATTTTAAAAGATTTAGCATTCAACTCTTAAAATTCAACATTCAATTTTCATTGTTTAATTTATAGTTTTATCAACCACCAACTTAGTAACGCACTAGATAGAACATTAGCACCATTTAAGAATGCATCAAAAGAACAAGAGGAGGTTACACAAAAAATACACAAAAAGGCACAAAAAGAGGACACTGTATGTAGAACTTAATTACAGGTAGATCTCGACAGAAAGATGACCACGAACAAGGTATGTACAAAAAATGTATTGTGCACATACTCTAAAAGGTGGGATGTTGATGAAAGAGGTAACATTATCCAAAAAAGTATATTTGACATAACTAAGAAGTTATTTCCTTTTAACTACCAGTTGGACAATGAGAATTAGTATGTTAAAATGCAGAAGTTGATTGTTCATGAAATTTTACTTGAATCAATATTGGAAAATAACAAACTAAAAGCATTACACAATGTGTAATGGATCCAATCACAGTCAGCTCTTGATTTCTTTGTATTACTTGTATGCAACTTCTAAAAGGAGAAGGGAAAGAAAGGATTATGGATAGTCTTCTAACTCTTAGACATGCATACCCAGTAACATTTATGTTCTTTCAATCGACAATTGTGCTAGTCATACTTATTGATATGGATAATTTTTAATTTTCACTCTACTAGGTTTGATTGCAACCTATGCTTAGAATCTTCAGTCATATTAGCTAAATTCTTCACATTTGTCCTTTTCTAAATTTGTCAGAAAGGTTGCTCATCTTTCTCATAAAGATAGAAGGTTACGAAAATTATTCTCCTTCGCTGATATTCATGAAAGAAATATGCAATAGAACTTCAAGTTTATGTCATACCACTGAAACCAAGCAATGTCTGTTCTTTGGATCAAGCCCACGATAAAGGACACCAATATCTATTTCAGTAGCTAAGGCTGCCAATGTCGCTGTTATGTCTTCTGCATTCTCACAAGTCTTTTGCCAGCCCAAAACTGTAAAATTACAATTCAATTATCATTAGGAATATCTTACAAAATATAATAATAAGATCAACTATGGTCTGGAAATCTATGAGGTCACCCGTTGTGAAAACATGTGGTGGAGTTGCTAGAATATGATGGATATAATTAAGCTTCCCACAGCCACTAGCCTCTGGATCACAAGCTAACTGGTGATTCATCTCCACAAGGTTTAGAAGTTCGTCAAAGGAGCTTTCTGGACACATAACCTAAATGTCAAAGGACTCTAGGTTAATATAAGTAACTGAATTACCATCTGACCAAATACTTTCTATAAAAACAATTATTAAAAATACACTGGTAAATTAGCATCTGTATTATAGGATTTTTTTGACGCGACATGCCTTCATTGTACGGAGGGCACTGGCATTGATATTGTGAAAGAAAGCCGTGTACTTCAGATGTCGAGATTCCAAACCACAACTGTAGCAATTCATTCTTTCAAAAATGTCCATTCCAAAAAGAGAATGTGCTATACAAGCATTATTAGCACAATCCCAACAGCCCAAACAGTTGCTATCTACCGACTCGGTGTCAGAAACTCCCAAACAAGAAGTAAATGATCGGTGAAGGCAATCAAATATTACTCCCAACACTTCTGAAGCATCATTCATTTGGGCCTGTCAGTTGTCACAGTAAGTCACAACTTTTCATATCAACATACCAATATCTAAATATAGGCTTATAGGGGAATGAAAACTCTAAATTATATGGAAAAAGAACACAAAAGCAGTGAAACCACAAAAAGTTATGCAAAATTACCTCTTGGAAGAAATTACTATCAGGATACAAATTGCTCAGAGCAATCCTTAGAGAAGTGGGGGCAATAGGTTCCCTTCGAGTGTCTGTAAATGCCATGTTCAAAGCAGTAAAAATGTCGTACAAAGCACATACAACACATGGGTCACCAACATGAACATGCTCGGACGTTGATCTCTCCAAGAACTCATCTCTAAACCGTCTTAAGTGCCATAAGGACTGAAATTTGACACCAAGAAGTAAACATCTCAAACCATATACAAAACATTACACTAGAAAAATAGAATATGAATGCTTAAAAGAAGCAAGAAAAATTGTGCATTCTCTAAAACCCACCTGTATGATGACATTCAGAAAACAATTATATTCTCCAATCTCATTCTTGAGCCCTGTTCCATATAAATCTGGTTCATTTACAATTTCAACCACGCCTTTTTTAGATGAAAAAGCCAAGCCATCTGTTTCCGAAGCCATCTTCTGTGGCATCCTCAAAATTGGCACCAAAGGCAATTTCTGATGTGCATGGTATGCATCTGGATTAATTGCAAATACGAGAGAAGAGTAAGTTTAAGCAAAAGGAACAAGGGAAGTGACTCAATATGATCAATTTTCTTGTAAGTGCACAAGTACAGCTGCCACATGAATACGGTTGAATCCTAATTCGCTCCCAAACCAGCCTGCAGGCTGAATTTGACATCAAAACGTTCAGATGAATTGCAATTGATTTTAGACCACTTAATAAACCACTGACATATTACACAATGGCACAATTATAGGTCCAGGTGCTGCAGTATTTGCATAAAATCCTCACAGCTCGAGTTGTTGTACTTGTCTGCGATATACATAAATAAAACATACACATGTGCACATGCATAAACAAGCTGCACTTACAACTACTCAATTTAATCCTAACCTACAACCCATTTACTCCCACATCTATTTCCTAATTTAAAGTCCCGCAGTTTTAAGGCCATTTTTTCTTTCGGTGAGTATGCCAAGCCCATTCTATCTGCATTCTGCAACTTAGGCTGAACAATTAAGCTCATACTATCTGTAACATAGACTGCACGAGTTATATACCAAATAAAGCTCTCGACTTCAGCCTCATATGTCTCCACCCGACTAGGATCATATCCAAATGTAATAATACTATTTATTTATCAATCGTACAAACAAAAAAGCAAGTGCATTATTAACACAATTTACTTATCAATCGTACAAAACAAAAATGCTGGTCCATAGGGTAATAAGAGCAAACCACAAAACATACATAATTAACATGGGCCCAGTCAACTTAAAACTAATCAAGTTGCATGATTATATATGCACTAGTAGATAAAACTGATCAAGTAGCACTAGGATCAGACTGATTGCACGATGGACCATGTTCAAATTCAGCTTTTAAAATGTAGCAAGCATGTCTGAAAATTCTGCAAGGAAAGTATCTTTTTTGTATAACAGAAGGTAAGAAAGCCAAGCCACCCAGTACATTCATTAAAAAACTTACTATTTGCTACTCAAAAGTCATTTATTCAGCACATGTGATGTGACCGTGAACACCCAAGAAGATAAAAAGGGCGGCACAGTGCACAAGGCTTCTGACACTACGAGGCCTGGGGAGTGCGAAGAGGCTGTTTTTCCATGCACAGATAAGGTGGGAATAGCAGATAAGAAACCTCTAAAATCACGAGCTTATTGTCCAAAACAAACTATTTTGCCCCTATTACACTCGTCACATTTTACTGTATTCGATCTTGCATCATCCAATTTTATATGTATAGCAAAGACCACATCCCAACAAGTAACAAAGAATGAGCAGAACAAGCCTAGTCTTCAACCAACCGTGGACCCTGATGTTATAGAATGAGGGGAAGCCAAATCCAAACCAGGTCTTGAGATTTCCACAAGGCTCCTAAAGGTTCACATCAAAAGAAAATTTTGTCAAGATGTGTGGGCATTCCTAATGTGAAGGCATACCAAGAAATTCTTACAAAGATTTGAAACCAAAATGATGGTTCATGGCAGTTCAAAGAAGCCAAAATTTAACTAGAAAATAATAATACCAATTTTTAAATCCTCCAATTATGGTTACATGGATAGGTAGATATATACGTGTATACATGATTTATATTAGTGGTAGAGAGAAAGAGAAAAAGATCCTTGATAATAGAATAGACATATATGCCAATTATAACCTACGGGACAAGCAGCTGAACCATAGAAAGGGAACCTACATCTTTTTTATATTATTTTATTGTTAAAGCATTCAACTCAAAACCAATAAAGCAATGTTATCAAAACCGGACCGGACATCAAACCGGCAAATAGACCGGATCAATGGTTCATTGGTTCAATTGGTCATACCGATTGTATAATAAAAAATTATAAAACATAATAATTTAACCAAAAAATATAAAATATGTTCACACTACATACAATTTTTCGTACCAATCATAAAATCCACAATCACAATAAAAATAAAATCCACAAAATAGTATTCTAAATTCCTAATTTGGAAATTTTATTCAATTAGGGGGTGTGTTTGATAATTACTTACTTTCTAACCCTTGTTAGGTATACTAACTGTGCATTTATGTATGTGTTGATTGTGTGTATATTGACTCAGTGACCGGGTGTGTGTAGAGAGAGAGAAAGATAAGAACTTAAGAACTCTGTGTGTGTATTACGCTATTACTCTATATCGGTGTGTGTCTGTGCATGTAGGAAAGGAGAGAGAAAGAGAAGAAGACGACATGCTGAGAAAGACAATGGTGTGTCCACTGCCTATTGAGAGGTGGAGTTCGATCGAGAGGAGAATCGCCGAAGAAGGGACCGGTTAAGGGCTCGGTTCATCGGTCCGATCCGATTCTGATAACATTACAATAGAGAGACCACTCAAATACATAAACCAACAATGGGTTAACTTAAGGTGCGTTTGTTTGACGTTTTTGTTTCTTTTTCTTTTAGTTTTTATCAAAAAATAAATAAATAAAAACATGTTTAGCATTTTTTTCTATTTTTTATTTTATCTAAGTTGTCTTGAAAACAAGCTTAAAATGTGGAAACAAAAAAATCATGTTTCAAGAAACAACCCAAAACAGAAACACACGGTGGCTATCTCAAATTTTTTTAATGAAGTCTACACTTCAATCTTTGTTAACAAGAAAAGAGGGTTATTTTTTATGGAGGTATAAATAATGGGGCTTTTTTGTCTTTTTTTAACTCGTCTCACACTGCTCACACATCTTTCATCTCTCTGTTCTGGAAGACGAAGAAGGCCAAAGAACAAATGCACTCGAAGAAGACAATAAAGCTCTACTCCTCGATGCTTTAAACTCAGAACCCAAAATCTCCATCGATATCTCTGGCATTGAATAGGTCAAATATGTGGGTTTGAGTGTGTTTATGTTTGAGTGCGTGTGAGTGTGTTATGTGAGGATTGAGGAGATCCATCACAGCACCCCTTTCTTTTTTGCCTTTTCCCATAAAAAAATTTCATTATGTGTTTTTGGATGTTCTATCTCGGTATGTGTGCTGAGTTTGTGTGTGCATGTGTTTTGTGTTTTGTGTTTTATGAGAGTTGTGTGTGTTGAATATATTGTTGGGTTGAAATTTATACATTATGTAGAATTGTTAATGAATGGTTATATGTTGTATACTATGAAGCACGGACATTCTCGAGAACGTAACGTATCCGTGTCGGACACCGACACTCTTCGGACACGTTTCCAATACTCTTTTATCCGTGCCCATAATTAAATGATAAATTTTTAATTTCGGACACTTCTTTAGAACGTTTCTACTATTATGTGCCAGTCATGTGCCCACATTCAGCAGCCAATCTTGCTTCACAAACCAATGTGCATGCTGGGTTCAACCCATGCCATGCAATCCGAAACTATGCACCCACATTGCTTCAATTGAGCCTACCACGTGTTGCCATGCTCAATCGGGTGGTCTCATGCTACCTTGGTTTGCCCCAATCTGTCGAACCACTTAGCCGCGTCACCATGGTTTCGACTTATGGCATGTCTTGGTGTAAGGTGCGACCAAGACCGGCCATTTGCACCCAAGTCAGTTAGGGTGTGACAATAATCAATAATAATCAAAGTCTAGTCTCACAAATATGTATCCCCTATATATATAAAGAGTTCACAAATCCTATATATATAAGGAGATCACAAACCCTAAAATAAATAAATAATCAAAATTACAACTAAACCCTTAAAAGTTAAAAAAAATTACTTAAACGATAAATATTAAAAGTATTTAAATAACTATCATAATTAATCTATAATATCTATCCAATTCTTACACGATCCCCATCATTCTCCTCCAATTGAAAAAAACTCTCCTCCGGAGAGTCTTCAAAGTAAAAATACGCTAAGAGAGCAGAATGAAGATGACGTAATGTCTCATCTAGAATGAAAGAACCATCAATATCTTTCCATCGATTAGAACAAATGCAAGAATCTCCATCTATAGCAATGTAAATCTGGTCATGTAACACATCATCCATTTGCCCTGAAATACGCGATGGAAGTGGAAAGATAAGAGCTGGAGCTAATGCAAAGGAAGATACAATTCCACCGAAACACCTGATAACAAAATAGGAGGCTCTGGAGTACCTCGATTAAGTAGCATGTCCTCCAAATAAAAATCTAGACTAATTCTAACATTCAATAAAAAATTAAGCAAATAAGCATTAGATCCAAACTCGAGAATAGAAAAATAATTGTCATTAGGTTTCAACAGAAAGTATTCAATGGGACAAGATATCGATGACAAAGGAGTAACATTGACACCTTAGCGCTGAAAATAATTAAGTACCAACTCAAGTGAAATTTTAATAGTAAGAATAAAGTCAACTATTTCAGAGGGGAAAGACTTGGGAACAAAGTTAGATTGACTTGAAATAGGAGACACAAAACAATCACCAAAAGATTTTGAAATAGATAACTTAATGTACTTGACATCTTTCATAAGTGTGGACTGGATAGACTTTTCAACAAGTTCCATTACAAGTGTTGACTCAACATTTAACTTTGACAAAGGCTCAAAATGACAAATAAGTCCCTGAAAAGTAAAATGACAAATAACTCCTAATCCTTACGTCTACACCTACTAAAGCGATAAATATTAAAAGTATCTAAATAACGATCATAATTAATCTATAATACTTATCCAATTCCTACACGATCCCCGTCAGGTACTTAAATTGAATACAAATGGGACTTCTAAAGGGAATCCTGGGGTGCAGGTGGGGTTGCTGTTATGAGAAATGATTGGGGCAGAGTTGTGCTCGCTGCTTCTTTCTTATATGGGGAATGCACCAACACAATTGCTGAGAGTGCATGGCCTGTGATGGATAAGTGTGAATGTGCATGGCCTTTCTTGAAATACCTGGGTCAGATTAAGGGGTTGTTACGACAAGCTGATTTTGTAATAAGGAATGTGTACGGAGAGGCAAACAT